ATGGATGGATGGATGGATGGATGGATGGATGGATGGATGGATGGATATAATGACATCACAAAATACACAAAGAAGGAACACAAGTCAGACTCAGCAGCAGCACAAACTCTGTGTTGCCTAATATTGCACATCATCTTATTGGTATTTTATCTCCTTCATCTTGTGGAAACACAGTGCATCACAGAGAGAACACCATGGAGTTTGCAAACAAAGTTAAACATTTAAATATGGCTAGAGGATTAAAAGAAAAAAAGTTAAATCATGTCATTTGGACCAGTTTCTTTATGTGAGAATCGTTTTTGTCCCCCATCCAGAAGACTTCCTCAGTCTATTGTCTGCCAACCAGATCTGTCCCATAGGTATCTGCTGTGTTTCTTGACAAATCTAGTTGGCATGTTGTAGACTGAAGAAGTCCTCTGGATGTTGGACAAAACAATTCTCACTTAAATAAACTGGTCCAGATGACTTGATATACCCCCCTCCCCCTTTCTTGTATGTATCTACCTGGATGATTGAGCTTACAACCTTTTTATTATTATTGTTTTTATTTTTTATTTTTTTGCTACATGATAAACTTGTGTGATTTTTGTAGTCACTTCACTTTTACCTGTATACCAACATCATATGAACAGAAAATATCAGAACATAACAAGACAACAGTCTTAACAACAGGACAAACTCCAGCCAAGCCATGATTTGTATCCTGATGGACATTTATCTTTCCATTTTTTTTTTTTATTTTTTTTTTTTTTTTTTTTTTTTTTTTTTTACATATATATGCATGGTTATGCTATGGGATCACCAGTGTCACTGATTGTGGCAAATCTCTAAGTAGAAGAAGAGGAACAGAGAGTCATGGGCTCCTTCAAGGGAACACCACCAATCCACTGGCTCAAAACATGTACTTTCTATCATTAGAACTCTACAGCATCTGAACCAACATGTCACTGCAAGGACAGATGGGGAATAAAAGGAACAAAAAACAACAATATAATCTCTGTAAACATGTGGATATCATATCTGGGCCTTTGTCAAATCAGAAAAAAATCCAAAAATTGCACTGCAGAACAGAACATGGAGAAGGGAAAATGCAAAAAACTATGCCAACCCATATGTTGCTGGAATATCTGAATACCTCAAAATGATTTTCTCCAAACACAACATCCCAGTACTTTTTTTTAACTCAACAGGACCCTCAGACAGAGGATTATCAATTCCGAGGACATAATCCCCAACCCAAACTGAGTGGTATGGTGTATGGAGTTCAGTGCAGTGAGTAACATTCAGACCAAAATATTGGAGAAACGAAACAAGCACTTTACAGATACATGGCTCAATACAGGAGAGCAGCACTTCAAGACAAGTGTCAGAGGTCCACATACACCTCAAGAACAAGAAACACTATTTAGACGACCAAGGGGTTAATATTTTTGAAAGAGAAGACAGACAGTTTGAAAGTGTATGAAGGGTGGTATTTGTGTCAAATGATGAAAAAAAAAAAAAAA